AAATGTCTAAAATGGTTGTCATTGAGAGAAAAAGAATTCTAGTTACAACATATTTAATTGAGTTTGAAATAAAGGGAGGAACCTCTTTGCTTTAGAATCTAATTGTACTCCAAAGAGATATAGAACCAGCTAATATGATATACCTGTAAGATTTGCACCTGTGAGGCTGTAAATATAAGTATGTTTACGTATTACCTATCAAACAAACTAAACAAGTACATGTTAGTTGAATAAAACGAGTCGTTTAAGACTTACAGGTCAGTATTTACGATTGGTGTCTAAGTGGCTGATTTTATTTGTGACTAGGGCAACAGAACATGTTTATAGAGTATGACTGTTTTGTTGAGTCTAAGTCAAAGGTATATGACTTGTCAAACCTGTGTGAATGAGGTTCTAAATGACAGGCTCGAGGTCAAGTTTTATAGCTGTGATTTTGTGTTATGTGGAGAAGAAATAAAATTAAATAAAGCCGACTATTTTAGTATGCCTTGATGTGCTATAAGAATGTGACAGTCGGGTAAATCAAGAAATAGGATGACCACATTGTAGAAAGACTTTCAATGTTTCAAGTCATTCAAAATTCACATGTAACTAGATTGAAAATCACATTCATCAACTTTTATCTCAACTTTTGATCAATTTTTGTCTGTTTCACTCTGAGGGAAAAGACAAATTTGATATTTTTCTGAGATTACGAAGGTTACCTTAATCTCTGATAAAAATGTTAAGACCTTTTGTCTTTACACCTGTTGAGAGTGTCCAGTCATCGTCCAGTTGTGCTGGTCAGGGCTGAACTAGATCAGGGTTACCCCTCTCCCTTACCCTCTCACAGTCATCTTATCTGCCAAGGCTTAACTCACAGCTACTGACAGAGTGTCGTTAATACTACTTTCAAATATTTGTGCAAAAATCATTGATAAAATTTCAAGTGTCGGGTATACTGTGGGGATGGCAGAATATTTCAGATATCCTAATGAAGTTAACATGTATCTTTGTCACAATGTTTCTCTCGAATCAAACACCTGCCGTTTTCTCTCTACAGTGATGCTTCTATACTGCTCCTATGGAGTGCAATACAAACAAGAATGATGGCTGTCTGTTCAATTTGATACAAACTTTATCACCTTCATTTTGACAAGTGCTCCTTCTTAAAAAACCTGAGATGTTTCTGATAAATGATGATTTGGTATTTCGTAATTAAGACAATTATTTTGTATTGAGTTGATGAATTTTTAATCAGACCAGGCTGATACACTGCCACGGGTATTTTTTTTATAAAGATAATTGAGATCTTTATAAATTGTATGAAATCAGTAATTTACAGCTTTTAAATCTAAACTCTTTTAACTCTAATGGTTGCATTATTTTGACAATAAGCCCATGTCTGCTAATAAGCCAATGTGGATCTATTGCATTTCAGAAGAATTATTGAAAACGGCTTTTTTCATCATCCAATGATCCAGTTGGGATGACCCCCCTGGGCTTATTGAGGGACAGATTTGGTAGATAATGATATGGACAGACTAGGCTCTCACTTGTTTCAAGCAAGTTCATGTAAAATTCAAAATGAAACACATCAGCATATTTCAACAAGAATTCCTGAGTACCACTATATCTGTTTAAAAGTTGACAAGGTTTATATGAGACTTCTTAGAGTTGCAAACTTAACACTTTACTTTCTTTTCATTCTTTTATGAAAATATCTTATTCAGCTGTGAACTTTCATCTCTTACTAACATAAATTTGTTCTTTATTGTTGAAAAGTTGACATTTAAACTTTGACTACATGTCATTGTAACAAATACCACATCTGACACAGGTATAGTTCACAGATCTGTCCACTAGTGGGGTCCCCAAGTACAGATGTGAGACAGAAACAATGCTCTATATATTATCACACAAAACTACCAATTTTTCCACCCTGCTATTTGATGGTAATTATGTGTATGTTTTGGTATTGTCCCATGGTCAGAAGTCAGACTAGATCCTAGGGGTCACAATTGACTCCTAATCCATCTAATTGTCTCCCGACAAAGCGGTAATTATGACTGCTGACCACTGCGTTTGGACCTTTGCCTTTGTGATACTAGAAGAAACATTTCTTTCCATTTCCAATGAAGATCCACACGACACCTCACTTTGTCAATAAGGTTGTTAGTGAATTATCTTTGGTCGCTTTGAAACGTTCCAGGGAGCAGTAATGATAATAATTTTATATTCTTTGGTTAGGATATAGGCAGACACTATAATTATCTGCCCCTTTCACTGACGGGGTTCAGCAGATGCGACCATGGCCACACATTCTAACACACATCTTGGTGCATATGTAATTACCAGTCTGGAGAACATGCCTTGAATGTAGACAATGGAAGATAAAATCTGTCAGAACTCCCTCCACCCATCGTCATATCATACTTCTCATTAGAACAAAGGTGAAGAACAGGTCTGAGTTGAAAAGAAATTCCCTTTCAAATCAATTCGCTATCTTTACATATAATCCTTAAGAATCTTTACACCAGTGAGGTGATACTATAAATTATTTAACAGTTTATAAGAAATATTATTTGTTATTTTCCAACAGTTATTGACTTAAAATTGAATTTATTAATCAAAACTTTTGTATCATTTCAATAAATTAAGGATTAGTTAAAAAAAACTGTAAAGTTTTTTATATATGTGTAAGTAAGTATGATACCTATATTTGAATTAGGTGAATTGTTTTGTATTTCCAGAACATATGGCATGACTAATTGATTTGTAACCAATGTAACTCATGGTTATAATGATACATAATATTATCTAATTAATTTTGATTTCTTACATTAATATGTAAGTTGATTTTATTTTACCTTAAGGCAAAGGTACTAATATACCAGTAATAGGTGTGAGTAGACATCATAGTTCACACACAGGTAAAATACCTTGGTACATTGATAACCCACCTGTCAAGGGTAGCTCATTAATTAAATGTACAGGGAAGTTTTTTTCACTGACAATGACCATCTATTTACCTGACCATGTGTTCACTACTGGTCAAAGTCGGTCACCAGACCCCTTGGTGGTCACTTTGATGTTTCTTCCGAACTGATTGCTAGAAGTAATCAACTATTGTACAAGAATAGTTTAGAAAAATTACAGGATTACTACATATACTGAATATTGTACAATTTCTTTCCAATCTGTTTTTGGGATTGGTTATGAAACATGTAATTTGGAGGTCAGTTAAAAACAAGATTTTCACCAAAAATTGGGTTTTTCATGGTAAGTTTATGCATGTATTTAATTCTACATCTCTTTCTTGTTCACTTAAATTTTTGTCATATTTCATCTTATATGTATACAAAAGTTGTTACCTGTATTATTGTTTTGTATAGATAATACTTAGGTTAGTTTTCATCTCAATCTGATTTTTATCGAAATGATTAGTACGCTTTTTCAAAAACATGAATTATTTGAAATTAATATGATGGATTTTACAGATTTCAAATTCACCCGTTCATGTACATGCATAATAGAGTTATTTCAGTTAGCTGAATTTTCCTAAATTTGACAGCAAATATTTCTTCAAATGTCACTTTTCTAGTGCTTACAACACTGGCTTAATTCATTTAAGGTCTCAGTACATATGGTAAATATATATGATCTACAGAATGTAATTTTGTTAAATACAATTATGTCATGTAACAAATTGAATTAAGGAAATGATATACTGAAATCACTTTCAATGACAAAGCCAAAGGTTATATAGTATGTAACTGAATAAAAAGAAATCCATCTGTGTGTAATTGAGCATCGTAAATTTGATGAGTTTACAATGTGTTTAGTACATATATGTATTTACCTAGCACAAGACACGACAGATGTGACATGATTAAGTTTCACTGATAATTTCAGCTTGATTTGAATTGGAGGTGTGACATTTCACTGTGGGATTGTTAACTTTTAAGGTTCACCTGACCTGTTACTCTACTTTGATTTCTATCTCGTTAAGGTGAAAACACAGGTACAACACTTCAACAAATCAATGACTTTTAAGATTGTTTTGTGAAATACTGAGATTTGTTTATTCAACTTACTATGTAGAAACGCTATAGGTGTGTATATTGTGGTTTGTCATTGTTTTGTAGAACTTTGTATGTTTTGATATCTTGTTTTTAAAATGGAAAAGGACACAAGTATATAAAAAATTTTTGGAAAATGTACATTTTGTTAAAATAGGGTTTCATACTGAGCACATGCAATGTCTGTACGTTTGTTAAATTGGATAAACTGGAAATTTGAACTGATGTGCCTAGATGCTTGTGATGTATTTCTCAAAGTAGCAAATTGTATCTTTCCAACAATTTGTTCATTCCCAGTAATAAGCCCATCCATACTTGATGCAGTTTCAACAGACATTCCTACATATGCAGTTATATTGTCCTGTAATAAGCAAGATTATGTCGGAGTGTCAGAGACACCCTTACTTTAGACAGACCCCAAACATGCCAAGAGTTTTTATCATTGTATTCAGTTAATTGTTCTATGTTTACTGCTGTTTTTAACCAGACAGACATGCTGAGATCATACTGTGGTCAGTGTTTACCTAGTTGTAATACCTGAGATTTTAGATATGAATTTTATCTGATATTGTTACATTCAATGATACAAGGGGATAAAATGTATTGGTCCATATCACCAACAGTTGGTTAAGAGTCCTTGTCCATGACCATATGTGACTGACCACTGCTGGTCAGCTTTTACAAGGGTCAACTAACCGTCTGCATTTTCCTGGTAGTTTGATATTGAGTACTTATACATCCATTGTCTTGTCCATATCAGCTATCAGTTGAAGGAAACAACACAATGGAATTTAGGGATATGCTAGAGATTTCCTTACTGGGTAGATGTCTTCTATTGTACAGAGATTTTTATAAGTAGATTATGTCCAAATAACTGTTATAATGCCTATAATCTGGGTATATCCAACAACTAATACATACCTGTTTTGTGTTTTGCAGGAACAAACACTGATTGCATAAAGAAAAACATCGCAGCCCATCAAAGGATATTTACATAAAGGGTGTGATTTTTGTCATTCGAAAGGTGAACTCTCCAGAAAGGAGGAGTGAATGTTGAAGGTTCAGCAGGAAGACTTCTTGAGGATGTGTATCTGAATTTTATGTAAAGAAATTCAACGATGGATTCTCTTGTCCACATTATTCTTGTCTTGACTGCAGTTTTCTGCAGTCTGTGTGATGGGGTCATATATTATCGTATAAAGGAAGAACGCGACCCAATGGTGCTTTTGGGAAATGTTGGTGCGGATGCAAACATAACGGACACAGCATCGACAACTTTCAGATTTGTGGAGACTGGAAGTCAACATTTTGAAAAATTTGATATTAATAGTCAAACTGGAAGTCTGAGTACAATAGCTAAGTTAGACAGAGAAGAGCTATGTCGCTTCAATAAAACATGCGAGTTAAAGCTCCGTATAGCTGCTGTAACTACAGGAAATACAAAAGTGGAATGGTTAGAAGTTAGAGTAATTGTTGACGATATTAACGATAACGCTCCGACCTTCAAACAGCCATTGATGACCTTGGATATTTCTGAAGGATCGCAGAGTGGTAACACGTTTCCAATTGTTGGGGCAACAGATGAAGATATGGTTGGTAACAATTCTCTCCGCGGATACCAACTCAGTACTCCTAGCAACACTTTTCGATTAGTTGTAGGTGACGAAAAACCTGACGGAAATCTAGATGTGAGTTTACAATTGATTGAAGTTCTCGATCGAGAAATCAAAGATTATTACCAGATTTATGTGATAGCAAAGGACGGTGATACTCCTCCACGAACTGGAATGTTAACAGTTGATATCAGGGTCACTGACATTAACGATAACAAACCTCAGTTTACTAAAACTCGTTATGAGGTAAAGGTCGATGAGGACATTACTGTTGGCTCGAACATCCTGCAAATTAAGGCTACAGACAAAGATATCGGCCAGAATGGGGAAGTGCGATACCGCTTTAGTGATCGTGTAGGGACGGACATCACTGCATATTTCAGTATCGATGAACGATCAGGCAACATCAGTCTCGTAAAGAAGCTTGAATATGTACAGGGAGGTAGTTACACATTTATTGTTGTGGCCTTTGACCAGGGAAGTCCCCCAAATGACAACCAGTCAGTTGTCACAGTTACTGTAGAAGATAAAAATAACAATTCTCCTGATATCAGTATCAATTATTTGACTCCAAAGGATGGAGAGGTTATGGAGAATTCAGCAGTAAATACGCCCATTGCTCACATCCAGGCATTGGATGGAGATGTCGGTAAAAATGGAGAGGTCACATGCTCAATTGACAATTCGCTATTTCGCATGAACCCGATGGGTGGCAATGAGTTCATCATTGTAGTGAATGGTCTACTGGATCGTGAGGACCAGATTGAACATGTTATTACTATTTTCTGTCATGATGGTGGGGTACCCTCACTTAACAGTAGTATCACTTTTGGTATGCAAGTCACAGATGAAAACGATAATCCGCCTGAGTTTATGAACCGCGTGTACAATACAAAATTGACAGAGAACACGCCCGCCCCTGTCCTCATAACGAAGGTCAGCGCTATGGATTCTGACCAAGAAATGAATGCAAGGGTCACATACAGCCTCCCCGAAGATACACACTCTCTGTTTTCCATAGGACCACAGTCTGGTATCATTGAGTCTCGTGTAGCATTTGATCGTGAGACAGTAGATCGACTTGAATTTCTTGTGTTTGCAGAGGACAATGGCTTAACAAAAAAATTCACAGCTACCGCTACAATCATTCTCACTATCACAGATCAAAACGACATCACACCAAAGTTCACACAAGAAGTGTACGAGTTTGATGTTTACGAAAAATTTCTGGGATTTTTCGGAAATGTAACAGCGACTGATGATGATCTTGGTGACAATGGAGAGATTTCCTATATTATACCTCCAGAATACATCACAACGCCTTTTTCCATTTCAAAGAGAACTGGGAGACTGGGAACGTACCGTGAAATGGACAGAGAGAAGGAAGATGAGTACCACTTTCAAATCATTGCAAGGGACAATGGTTCCAACTCTCGTGAGAGTACGGCACAAGTGATTGTGCGAGTCAAGGATCTGAACGATAATGCACCCGTTATGATTTTCCCAAATGAGACAAATAGTTCTATCCTGCTATCATACCGAGCAGAACCAGAATCTCTTGTTACAACTATTGTAGCCGAAGATGCAGACATTGGTGAAAATGCAGAAATAAATTTCATCATTATAAGTGGTGATGATAATGGATTATTCAAACTTGATCGTTATTCTGGAGAGATACTGTTAAGGAGAGAAATCAAGCTTTACGAAATAAAAATGTATACACTAGACATTTCCTTGGAGGATAACGGAATGCCGAGACAGAGCACGCGTTACTATATCAACATACAGGTTCAGTTCGTCAACAGTACTGTCATATCAGAGGAAGTAGTTGTAACTAGTGGCAACATTCTCATCGCAATAGCAATAGCCTGTATCACTTTTGTACTCTCGACAGCAATCATTATTTCGATTTGCATCATTCGAAGGATTGATATGAAAAAGCGTAATTATAATTCGAAAAGTGCTGAAGAAATGAAGATCATCCAGACAATTGGTCGTGGAAGTAATCGGTCTTCGTCATCCAAAGGTTCTCGAGACGAGTTTCTACCTCCACACCATATCATGAGTAAATCAAACAGGAAGGAAGTCAGCTTTTCATTGGATGATGAGCAGGATAGTGGTTTCACCTTTGCCCCGAGTCTGGCCTCCTCTGTCCCTCCCAGTCTCACCTCATCAGGAATGGTCACCTTCAAAGCGGGTGGCTCTATGATGGATGACCCCTCCAACAAACAGGTCAGTACACATGCACTTGAATTATTGGTGGTCAGTGTGCTTGTACTGAAATTTTTTGATTAATTGATCAGTAATTGTATCAAAGTTTCAACTTATCACTTCAGGTATTGAGAGTGATTGCATTGTGGGAATTTTTATTTGGATCTTGTAAGGTGAAACAATTTTATATGAAAAAATCAGTAGAATTATACACAAATGATAGTAATATAAAGTAAGAGATATCTTGTTAGCCACTCATTAAATATGAAAAGTATCATGATCATATTTTCCTTTTCTGTCCATTGTCTCTGTCAGAAAGAAACTAATGTTTGCTAATTGATATTTGTTTGACTTTGTGAGAGAAAAAAAACAAAATTGAAATTTATTTTCTTAACTTGTTTGAATATGTCTGAAGACCTAGGTAACACACATTGTCAATCTAGTTTGGATGTGTGGCCATGCAGATGTAGATAAGGACTAGAATGGCCCTATAATTTGTAATCTAATCCTTAAGCAGTTAACTGACTAGAGATAGCCACTATAAGAGCTAAGATGACCACTAGAATGACCACTTAAGCACACAAGATCTTGTCTCAAGTGCCCAGTATGTCAACAATAAACAGCCCGTCCCCCATTCTGCTTGGGCCCCTCTTGTTTACGAACATCACTCTGATTTAATACTGAGAGTCAATAAGATGCCCGTAATACCCTGTCACTGCCTCAGACAGGGTTGTCCTGTGGCCCCACTGACAAGTGCTTTGACAACACATCGTCAGGTTGGGAAAATTGGCAGCTTGCATCGAACTCCTTGTCTGTTTGTGTCGGCCTGATTAATCCTAAGAGCTATGTTTGCAGGTTTCTTTAGTATGTGAGCGTACAAACATTCAGTAATAACAACCATAACAGGATGTAGGTATTGGGTGTCTACCCACCTTGATATCGTCACAGAGTCCATCACATCACCTGCTCATTGGATCTAGTGCTGTAAAATTCTTCTTGTATAAAAAATGATAACATTTTTGCATTTTGCTTTCTTCATATTTCATTTTCTTTTGACAAGTGTGGAGTTAAATCATGAAATGATAAAGCATGATTTAATTTTTGTCTTTATCAGGCATTTGCTTAATAAATCAGATAAGTTTATTTACCTATGCTTATCCAGTCTAGTTATCAATATTGATCTACCTGGCTGAAATATGTAAGACTGTGATCACTCTTGCCATACAATGGAGTTTGTTGGTATATGGTTCTCAAACAAATATTGAAGCAACCTGTCATATTGGTTTTTGCTCCCTGATGAATATTAACTTACTGACTTTATATATAGATAAGTTAAAATATTACTTGACATGATATGACCATTGTAGACTAAAGTGATTTTGCTATCATAGGTAATTTGATCCTAAATAATCAATGTCAAAAATGTACAGATTTTATAAACAGCCCAAAACCATTCATCATATAAACAATTACCACCAGGTTAATAAAATTGAAGAAAAAATGTTCGAATTTTTTTAAAACTTAAAACCATTCAGAGTTTCTTTAAAAAGAGACTTGTTGATCAAGAAGGTTACATCAAAGACTAGAAATACATTTGAAAGTCTTCTTATCTTTTTTTACCGAATCATTATATCAAATATAAGTTGAAGATAATTAGTTGATATTTTTTTTATTACCAGCTTGCTCCTCATCAGAATACCAATCATAGTAGGGAGGGCAGTACAGCATCTGACAGTAAACAAAAGCAGGTACATCGCATGGCTTCTCTTCGTGTCCAACAACAGCTCCTTATGTCTCAGGACGGTGGGGGACAGTCTGTATGGAGGAAACACCCACAGAATTCAGAGGTAGGTGCCAGGGAGAAAGGAAGCTCCACATCAATGTCACAATACAAAGTGACTCATTGATCAAATCCTTACACGATCAAAATTAAGCAAATAAGAAAAGATGGATGTTAGCATTTAAGATTCTATCTAGAGTCTATATAACTGTATCATAGCCACTTAGAATGTCAACTCCAATCAATGTTGTTGTAAAAATCCCAAGCAAATGATTTGTCAATGTAGTGTACTTTTGAAACAAACGGAAACAAAAACTTATGTCTTTATTTCTAATGGTAGAGATATATCTTTTTGTTTTTGTACGTTATACTGTTGATGTATAGTTCAGGCTACCATTCCTAATTGTTCAAATCCACAATGAATTTGTTGTACAAATATTTGGTTTATTATACGAAAAGATTCAATAAAGTATGGAATCTCCAAAGTGCCATTTAGATATATAGGCCTTAGTTATGTAAGGAACCACTCCATTATTATGGTATGACAAGGGATATTGATACCAATTATGTTTTTTTCCACACCAATAATTTATCAATAATCCCTGACAAATTGTCTACGTAATCAATTTGTATTTGTAAAACTTACACCCTTAAGGACACAGTTTCAATTTCTCTCCCTGCAGATATCTTTTTAATTCATAATTAGTCGCCCAGTGGCCATCTCTAAGGCTGACAAATTAGGCACCATTCTTGGTAGGTGTCACTACATCAAAGATCTATAAGATAGGGGTAGAAAGAGGGTATAGAAGTGATGAGATAAATTTGGGTGTCTGGATGAAAGACTTTCCGAGGTCAACAGTTGTTCAGTAGTCTCCAGTATCAAGAACTTCTGTCATTGTATTATTAATTGGTTTTTCATACAAGCCACAATTTTTACCTAGGAAGTGTCTTAGACCTACTTATTAGGCCATGGTCATGTATAGAGAGTATTTATCTGACACTACTGGCCCTGGGGCTAGTGCTTCATCACACCCTGAACAACACAAGTAAACACCAAACTTTTAAAAAGCTTTGTTAGTTTCTTAGGTAATCCAAATTAACATTATCTTTTTAATTTATCATTTTTTTCTGAGTGTTCCCCCCCACCCCCACCACCAAAAGAATAAAGGTAGCATATATGAAAGCTGAAAATAATAAGTTCAACAGAAACCTGAAACCTCTGATGTTTTTGAATTAAGTTTTTTTATACAAATCAAATCTGGTGAAAGTAGGGGATTGATAGGCTGGCAAAGGATTTCGACAACTGAAAATCTGACCAGTTAAATGTTTAATGAATTAATTGATATAAGACGTCTGTTAAATAAAGGAAAATACATTGAAATGATAAGATTTAAAGAATAAGTGAAGGATATTCAAAATGCAAACAGTAAAAATAGTAAAAAATGAAGGTTAAAAAAAGTAATTTGCACTTCAAAGATGGTAGAAATCCTTAGGGATGAATTCCTACATATACCCTTGAGTTACTTCTCATCTCGGCTTGACTGAAGGATATAGCTGGCAGAATTGTGAAGCTTTTATGCTATTTAGTTCTCTTGTATGTATGATAGACATTTAAGTTTTTACCCTTTCTGGCTTTTTTGGGAGAGAATTCCTGAAACATAGGGCTTATTTCGTGCCAGGTGTGATATTTGACACTTATGTATTAGAGAAGGTGAAATGATTTGCTCCAGGCTAATATATTGGAGTAATTACAGGGGATAACAACATGCCTGTACACAAAAAACAGATCCTAGATCCATACAACTGTTGTGTGGTTCCACAATCTTCCAACCAGGGACAAATTGCCCTAGAACAGCAGGTGTTGATAAATTTACCATTAAGATCATTATGTAAAGAGTTATTTTTTTTGCATCACAGCTTTAGCCAGCTAATCCAAGTGATATCAATAAGACTTCTATCTCCTGTGCTTCTTTTTGGAACTCCCTCTCCGTAATTTCCCATGCCACTTAATTAAAATCAAACATGTTATCTTTGTTGTGTTAAATACTTCATTTTGTAATTAAACGGTCCTAATGACAGTAATTTTATTGATAAGATTATTGTGTACCTTACAGATGAAACAGCTGTCAGTGCCTCATTCTCACAAGGATAGCCATCATGACGATAACCGTAGTGACCTCTCCGGAGAATCTACAACCAGTGATAGTGGCCGTGGTGGCAGTGAGGAGGACCTTCGCAATGCGGGACTCTCACACCCACCTGAGCTAGGTAAGTATTTCTGCTTTGTTTCTGTAAATATCAACTTGTTTCAGTTATTGTTGACGAGTGGATTTGAAATAAATTTGTCTAATAGAAATGTTGGGATATTGTAGATCAGTTTGTTAGATGATGAACTTTAATTTTCTTTTTGAAAATGAATAAATCTGAATTAGAAAATTAGTAATTTTGTAGATAAATCTACTGTAATCTAGCAGAATAGATGTTGTTTATGTATTGTTCATGTATTAGAGTGTTTAGCATTATTGGAGGGAAAAAAAGATGAATTTTGAAATCAGTTATCGGAAAGGTAATTATTATGTAATGTTTTTTTTCTTTCAGACCACAGTGGAGATTCACGACATTTCTCTACCACTGATAGCAGTGGAGTTTCTTCTCTTTCTTATAATTCAAGTGCTGTAAATGCTGGAAGACCAATGTTTTCCACATTTGGACATTCTAACAATGACACATTTCCGCGGAATTCCCACAGGAATCCCGTTGCCCAAGGTGGGCGCAGTAACTCTCGGCCTCCTCGCCAGGGTCACCGTGTTCAAAGGCTGCAATCTGACAACTATTCCCCCCATCATAAACAATTTGTTGACATTCCAAGGGCGCCGTCAGCTGATCTGCGCTCGAGCAGATGTTCAGTGAACAGTGATAGAAACCAAAGAACAAACCGTCTTCATAGTGTCACACCTACATTTGATGACACGCTAAGCGAGAGCTGTGCAACAACAAATCGTGATGACGATGATGTGACAACAACATCGGGGAGCTATACTGTGAATGCTGATGAACTGTGTAATGAAATTGATGAACTCTTCTTGAAATCTGACACAGTTGTATGATATTTTGTGATATATGGTATACCTAGGTATATGAAATTGAGCATTGAAAGTGGATTGAAAAGAAAAATGGGAGAAAGTATAAGAAAGAGAGAAAGAATGAATACAGAGTCTGAGAATATGAAAAGACTGAGAAAATGAATGCTTCAGTGCTTAGTATAATGTTCTTGCCAGATGTTTGATATAGAGGTGTTGTATTGAAATGAAAGTTGACTTATATTAAGGATATATCCTACCTTGATGTGTTCTTCACTTAATTTTAAAAAGAGTTTGACACAACCAAATTCTGAAAATTTCTTGGATGATTGGCAGTTAGGACTTAGTAAATTAATAGCAGATTTCAAGACCATACAAATAGGATGTAACAACTAGGTTATCCTGAATAATTATAATTTTACGAAACATCGCTGTGTAAATCTTCAATCACATTAAAGTCTTTAAGGGAGGATATATCCTTAATGTTTGTAACTCTGTATTAAGAGTAAATTTAACATTTCAGTCTTGGAATTTATCAAAATTTCGTTTTTTGTTATCAGTCAGTTTTTCTCAATGCAAGAAGCTGACAGCCTATGAAATACGATTGATAGGTTTCCAGAGACTGAAATATTTCATCTGACTGAATTATGTTAACACAATTCCTTTATCAACATAGTGACCCCACTGCCAAAGATTTGTAGTCATTTTTAATCTTCATAATGTCACATAGCTTCACACACAAAAAAAGTCACATGATACAATTCTCTAAACTAATCATCATTGCACATGGCTACATCACAGGATTTCTCACAGGAAAAGGTTATAAAACCACCTGGACTGGAGAAGGCTTGTAATTTCTGTGTTCCTCATGGAAATAAATCACACTCAAGTAGTTACTATTATAACAGCTACAAAGTTTAGAGTAATTCAGTATCATTTCATGAATTTCATCATCTTTTGAAAATATTTCGCTGTAAAATCTGATAGTTTCTTGAGACTCGTGTGTCTGTGGTTTTTAAAAAAAAATACCATCTTGTTGGACTCTTGATTTCATGAATCGATATAGCTCAGTAAGTTTACTTTTACATACGTGACCAGTGTGTGGATATGTGGATTTGTGGATTAAAAAAACAGTACACAATAATCAATGATTTTATAGTATTTAATTCTGCCTAAAACCTACATCATTGTTACTATATATGCAATCCTTAATATTTCTTCATATGTATGTGTATGTTTTGTAAGACAAACATATATTGGGTATTTAATTTCCACCCAAGCCAAAAGTGCACAGTTTTCTTTTTAATACTGTTTGCATGCTTTTATATAATGCAACTTTGAAGCTGTAGTAAAGAAAGAATCCCAACTTGTTTTTTATGGTAAGAATACTATCATAGATAGATGAACAAAAAGAGTCTGTTTAATGTCTGAAATATGTTCAGTGCAATATTATGTGTAAATGTTGAGAGTGTGCTTTTGACGGTAATACTGTCTTAATTGTACTATAAAAAATCACAGTTTATAAAGTACAATTGTATGTTAGTTCAGAGGAATTTTTTTCTGTTTCCAAAATGAAGCAGACATTTTTACATGGGTTCATGGGAACTCGACTCTGTTGCCGTGGTTATGTGCTGTTGTTGGTGTGTCAAAAAATTATGATTCATGTTTTGTTTTGTCTGATGTTATAAGTATTACAGAAATTGTAAATTGACCAAAATATGAAATATACTTGAAAAAAAATAATACAATAAAAAAATATATATTGAATTATAATTGGTTGTGTTTGTTGTTAATTGATGTTTTTTATATCTGAAAGTTCATATTGCACACCAGTGTTTGTAAGTTTCTTAGATTTTGGTTGGGGTTGAAGGAGGAAACAGCTGTATGATGCAGTTTAATTGAATGTCTGGCTCTACTGGATCTAGCTCTAAATTTCTTTAAAAGGTATTCTCTTCTACATACATACTGTATCCATCAAAACTTTTTGTCAAAAACAACTTCAGATTGTAGTTAAACACAGAAAAAAAAGATTACAATGATAAAACAGGTTTTGAATTTGTGTAAGTAATGACTTGTTCATGATTGACAAGGAATTAGCCTAATGGGGAGACTTTACAAAAGTACTTCCTCAATGAACAGATCTGTATGTTATAAGTTTACCCATTTTCACACCTTTTGTTTGGTAGATTTACCTCCTTCAACAGCATGGATCATTTTGAGGCAGTGTCTTTGTCTAGTAGGCGACAGGTACCTCATTGTACAACATACTGGAGGCTGTCCCATTCATTGTACCTCATTGTACAACATACCGGAGGCTGTCCCATTCATTGTACCTCATTGTACAACATACCGGAGGCTGTCCCATTCATTGTACCTCATTGTACAACATACTGGAGGCTGTCGCATTTATTGTACAACATACAGGAGTCTGTCCCATTCATTGTACATCATTGTACAACATACTGGATGCTGTCGCATTTACTGTACCTCATTGTACAACATACGGAGGCTGTCACATTTATTGTACCTTGTTGTACAACATACTGGAGGCCGTCACATTTATTGTACCTTATTGTACAACATACCGGAGGCTGTCGCATTTACTGTACCTCATTGTACAACATACTGGAGGCTGTCGCATTTACTGTACCTCTTTGTACAACATACGGGAGGCCGTCGCATTTAAGCAATTAGGGTAAAGTGAACCAAAGGCACAGCCACAACAGCACAGACTGGTCTGTTTCTCATCTTCCTGATAAACTCAATCAGCCACAGGTAGAGAGAATGGAAGTACCACCTCATGTCTTCACCAGAGGTTATGCCCTAACGGACTGAATTATCGTGGCCCCATCTTCATTGGACCTTAACGTTTGCAGACATGTATTCAAAACCCTTTATAAATATGGTTTTTAGAATACTTTTTCTTCTTCTTCTTCAATAGTATTGCATAAAGAGATTGGACAAAAACAAATCCTCACGGGATGTGAGAATTACGAAGGATTAAATTTGAGTACGGGTTTGACCCATGAACATTTTGATAAGCTCGATATAGTGTATATTTTCAAATTTCCTGTATACCGTTTGGGTACCCTTTAACATACATGTACTGCTCTGTGGAGCACGGATCTATGATATCATGGACCTCCTAATAACGATGTTCCAAATGGAATAAGTAACGAAATTTCAACTTGGACTTCTTTGGAAAGAAGTTTTACTGAAAGGTTAATCCTTTAATTCAACTTAGCATCACTGAGAGTCATAGGAGGACGAAACAGCTGCATCATGTAGTTTCATTCATCACAACTCTCTATAATTGTAAAACATATTTTTTTTAGATAGGTGCTATTCTCTTGTCATATATATGTACTTGGCGTTCTTCTCAAAATATCACATGTACAATGGTTACCTATGAATTGTTGTTTTTCCTCCGAGACCTTCAGTTTTATTTCCTCCGCCACCCAAACCTGCCAGGTCATTAAACTAAACTATTAGATGTATCCATTATGTATCCAGCGTATTCGGATACTGCTACGACAGATTAGCGCAGAACTGTTAATATTTTCGTTGGTTTCGCTGTTACCCTCAAAACATGAATTCATGTTTTCCATGCCCGACATATAAATGAGAATATTGAACTGAAGTTTCGAAATCCGTTTAAACCAAAGATTACAAAAATAATTTATCAAACTAAATCAATACGAAAAGATATATAAAAGTCATTGTTTTATACGATCGCAGTGATAAGTACCCATGGAACAAATATTTTGATCCATTGCACTTATGATAAAGGGGAAATAACTCCTATAAATCACGCTACCGGTTCTCAGTTGAAAACGGTCGCAAATGAAAATGAAATACAAGTGTCAGAAACGAAATTGATGTATTTCGATAATTCATTACAACAACTAGAGGAATCATGTTCAGGAAAAAATTGTTACAGAAAAAGATTTCTTTTAAATTGATGTTTCAATAGATAATATCGATATTAGATCGACAGAATCCTCGTGTAGGTGTACGCGAATGTCAGAATAAAACGTCATACAGTTGCAAGCCGAAGTATCCATGTATGTATTTTATAATTAATAGCTATCTTTATATTGAACTCAATATTTGTACTGTTTGTTGTTTTCACTGACTGAGATTTATCAACTGCAGATTTGCAGCTCCTAAGTTTTGAATTTATCATGTGATTATCTGCCTCAAATTGTCCTACATGTAAAGAAGTTGAGAGTACAGGTCGCTTTACTAGCTTCAGCTAGGGGAAATTTCCCTTTAGTCGAGCGGTAGCGCGTTAGGCTAGAGACCAAAGGATCGCTTGTTCGAACCCCAGTTATGACAAGGCGTTTTCATTACTTCTTCCTGATACGCATGTACAAGGTGACCTTCACTCTGACCCTTCGTTATCACTGATAACACAGGGGAGTACATTGTTGGGTGGAGAAACACCGGTTGTTGACAAGCAATTTTTAAATATGCATTTCCTCCCATAACAACAGACAAATTATCTTTTCAGAAGCATGCTGATCCATGAGTGGTTCAGGTAACAGATTATATGAAAATTGATGTAGCTTCCACTACATGCACGACACGAAATTCTTAAGACGACTGGCAACGTCACGTGAAGATGAACACCGATTCATCACATTACTAATTTAGTAGACTGCAACAGAGTTCATATCATATCTTCAATCAATTTGTTTCTTAAAACTTATTACCCTGAACCGGAGATCGATTAAAATGAAACAGTAATCAATTTTAGCAGACCAAAGAAAATATGATCCAGATTTTTCATGTGTTGGTCCAGCTTGATTGGTTGAAACTAAGTCTCAGATTGACGCGTAACGCGCATTTGATTGACTAACACACCAATAATATTACATATATACAAGCTATGGGGTCGTATACATGATTGATGTGTATTTACCTGAAACTTTATTTATCAACAACAAAGGATTGCTTAAGAATAGTTAATATAAATACAGGTAAGTTTACAACATTCCACAACCATTCGAGGACAACATAAACAACGCCATATTGATTACTATCAGAATTAAGGACTATCACCGAGTCGAGATAAGACATTAATTTTGTTCCAGTAAATAATAATTTAGCATTGAAAATATAATCTATCAATTAAGACAATGACGAAGATATCTATTTTTGTAAAATATCTAAACCTAGAGTAAAGAATCCCTAGATTGTTTTGCACTATTACGCTTTAAATGTTATAATTACACTGACATTATACCATTAACGCTGTACAGAGTGATGTAATATTGTGAATGTCGAAATAGAAAAGAAAAATAAATAAGATAAAACGAATAAAATCCTGATATATAGTTTAACTCATACATAAAAGGGGCGAACTCCAAAGAAGTTTTAATCAATGTTCATTACCCTCTTCTGAAAACTTGTTCCGCTCTCTAACACACCCCGTTCCAGTCTGAAGGAATATCTGCGTTTATTAGTAAACTTTCTTTTAAAAGAAAGGTAAACGGAGGTACAAATATACGGTTGTGATCTGTTCTGAGGCGTATCTGAAGCAAAATACCATCTTGTACATCCAAATCAAGAGGAAGGGATCAAAATCACAAAAGATGTCCCTTGTGACCTAAGGGAGGTAACTACTATGTTTAAATATCGTCCAGGTATAAAATCAAACATCAAACCTAAACGAAGAAAATAATTATTGCTTTGTAGATATTGAATAAAAGGGGAAATATTTAAAAGAAATCTTTTAACGAGGATAATTATTTCTAACGGGATAGCTGTATTACTTTTTTACACTGCTGTAGCGACCTGAGAGATACAGGTATGCAGACGACATGCATAACTGCAGGAAGACTAAAGATTGTAACTCCGTTCAAAGACGCAATTTGTAAAATGGAACGCTTTCTGTATATTGTTTTGAATAAAAATTAGCATGTTGTTTCTTAAGAGACCAAAACTCATTTAGGTCTCAAGATCATCCGAGGAAAATAATGTTCATACAAGAGAGACTTTTATCAAGTTCTGTCAGACCGCAAGCTTGCATCTGTCGACCATTTTTTGCACGTGGACAAACAATCGATAACGTAATATTAACAGACAACTGGAGGTTATTCAAGTTCCACATCACCACAAACAATGAAAATTCATGTTTTTATTTATTTTGTATGAGGAAACAAATAGGACTTTGGTCGATTTGGTTACAATCCAGTAAAAAAAAATACGCTGTAATAAGTCAAAAGCTTGTATATTTTAATACAACTTTATTATGACGTATATCGAATACAAAGAAGGGTACATGACAGGGTTGACTTATGCACGCTAATTTTTAGAGTACTATGAAATAATTTTTGATTTAAACATATTTTATTGCATAAATTGTATATACAAATGGATTGGGCACAAGTTTACAAACTTATATAAAGCCCGTTCCAAGATAAATAACAGACACATATAAATGCAAAAGATGACCTATTCGAAATTTACAAGATACAATTATATATACAGAGAGAGAGAGAGAGAGAGAGAGAGAGAGAGGGGGGGGAGAGAGAGGGGAGAGAGAGAGAGAGAGAGAGAGAGAGTACATCTACAAATGTAGTGAAAAAGGAACAATAGCGATATGGTCTAACCCAACCCAGGTGACAATCACATTCTTTATACTATTCCACTCTTCCTAGCGTTCAACTTGTCAATGTCTATCAAAAAACCGTGCCACCGATGTCCTTCTCCTTGGTCCATGCTGATCCT